TGGCAGGCTTTTGCAAAACCCCCAGCACGTCTGGAACAGATGTTGAGTGTGTGTGTGTGTGTGCGTGTGTGTGAGTTGTTGTTTTTGCTTTCTCGTCCTTACTCGTCCTGTATCGGTACTATATTGCTCGTTTGTAGATTGTGTCACGGGCTTTCGTTTGCAGCCAGTACAACAGGAGTGCACAGCAAAGCACCAGTAACACAGAACGACCTGATGAACAGCATTGAAATGCTGCCAAACAGCCAGCCTAGCCTCGCTTCGCATCCTGGATCAGCCACTCCACAGATCGCAAGATCTTGGTCCACATGAGATAAGCTCCAGAATATATGGTTGGGAATCTCAGATGCCGGCGTTTCCCCGATGGGAACTCTGCAAGCCTTCAGGTTCACTAACTACTCCACAAAATGAAATCTGAGAGATTTTGGAGTTCAAGCGGCGCGGCACAGTTTTCAATGATAATGGCTTAAAGCCAACGTCCTTTTCATCAGAGGCGATTCCAAACTCCGTCATGCCGTTCAGCACCCCGCAAAATCGTAAAAACGTGCTTCTTGCTACTAGTAGCGATGCACCTGTTACTAATAGCGATGCCCTTTGTTACTAGTAACTAGTAGCTTCTTGCTACTCCGCGTGGTGCTTGAAGGCGCACGCCCCAAGGCTGCGGAAAATGCATGCCACACATTTCATAGCTTGCACTCCGCTCATGCGCCTTCGGTCAATTCAGAATAACCGGTGCTGGCATTTGACAACACCATCAGCAGAAAGGCCAAATACAGAATCAACTGCTGACTAGGGTGTCAACAAAAAGTCCTTGAATGCGAGTATGCTAAAGTGGCATCTGCATGATGAAAATGTGTGAAACCTGCACGTTCATTCGTCTAATCCTCAGATGTAAACCACTCCACAAACTCAAAGAACCTCAGTTATTCCAAGGCCGAACAGGCTCCGATGAGACCACTCGGAAGGAGTCACACAGAAAGAGACAACCGAGTTGGTCTACGTCGCTCAGTGCCAGACTCGATCTCGCCACTTCCATCACTGTCGAGCTCCCGGAAAGCCTCTGAAAGACATGTCCGGGACCGGGCTTCAAAATAGAGCCACCGCAGGACCACAGCACCAGTGCCTGGTCTAGTTCCTCTTCACTTAGTTCCTCCCCCAGCTTTTCCAACAAACCTTTGAGCTCCTTCACAAGGTCACATTTTCCAGAACGTTTTGAGGAGCTTGAGGGCTTGCGGCAGCTCAGTGAGCTTGTGAGAGTCCTTGACATCAATGTAGCCGCTACGATCTTCATCGTAGGCATCAAACTCCTCGTGCAACATGCAAGTGTAGTTCAAAGCACTGCAGCAAGGAGTCAGCCCCGCGGGCTCTCAGCCCTGCGGGCTTGTTTGATTTAGACTTCCGGACTTCCGTATCCTGCTTCAAGTAGCACAGGTTGTTCAATTGAATGCCCATCTTGTCGGCCATCCCTTGGAGCTCTTCCTTTGACATCTTATATCCTGGGAGTTGGAAGCGCAAGATGTTGCAAATGCTCTCTGAAGATCTCGCCACAAAACGCGCATAATGTCTGAGGTCAGCGCTCTTCAAGAAGATCTCATTGATCTCTTCATCTGTTGGACCTGGGTAAGCATTCAGAAAAGAGCATCACTGCATCAAGGCGGAGAAACGAGCACCTCCGGCGAAATAAGAACCAGGCCAATATCATCGTCCATATCCTTGAATGATTGAAGCTTCAAGTGGCCACAAGGCCATCGAGCATCCACACCATGTTCGGAAGCTTTGCCAGTTATACAACAGGTTTATTCAGTCTTTGAGGCCAAACCTGCCCTTTGTTACTGGTAGCGATGCCCTTGCTCCTAGTAGCTTCTTGTTCCTAGTAGTACTGCCAGGAGCTACTAGTAGCGTCCTTGCTCCTACTAGAAATGCCCTTTGTTACTAGTTTAGTAGCGTCGCAACGTCCTTGTTACTAGTTTATTCAGTCTTATGAGGCCAAACCACCCGAATGTAAATTGTCAAAATGGAAACAACCTGAGTCTGCATCGCCTTTCTCCGTGTGGTCTTGGCCTTTAAATCATATCATATCTTGCATCTCCAATGCCAAAAACCAACATTGAATAGGAAGGCGACGCAATGCGACGCAACCTACGATGATATTGAAGCAGAACCACGACCAAGCAAGGAAATGCCAAATCAAGGGTACTGTCCTACCAGCGCAGGTGCTTTACCCAACAATATATATAATTCACATGCGTCTCTAGCCACGAATTGAAACATGACAATGCTAGACGTCACAAGGGCATAAGAAGGGAACATGTCCAGAAATTGTGAGGCACAAGTGGACTAGGAGAAGGGTGTAGACTTGCACAACGGCACCATCAGCATGTTTGGCACCTTGAACAAGCGTCACCGTTTGCTAGGTTGTCAAGACAGGATAGTATAGTAGTACAGGAGTATAGAACAAAACGATGATTGCCATGTCAGTCCGTGTTTGCATTGAAAGTATACTATACAGTAAGTACAGTATATACAGCAAACCAGCCAGAACAAAGTTGTGAATTTAGAGGGGCACCAAAAAGGTGTGACCCAAAGAACTCTGCGAATGCATCAAGTGTCAGAATCATCAGATCCAGCAGACTCTTCATCTGCATCCTGCCAATGTGCTCATACGTCGTTTCTGGGACCGGTGCTACATAGTAGAGTGACAACCCAACAAAACAAGACAGCGTCCTTCTTCCCCTCCACGATCTCCTAGAATCAATAATGCACTCAGCATCATCAAAGGTGTTTGAAGTTACCCTTTTTATCCAACAGGTATGGGCAATATAGTTTAATCTATATAATCCCAACTGTTGCGAAGTGCTTGTGCAGGATCATGGGGCTACACGGAAATCAAAGCTTCTGCGATGTGCACTGGTGAAAGGATATGTCTTGGGCCTCGTAGTTGAGTTCGCCAGGTGCTTCATCGCTTCGGGTTGCTGAAGCAGGCGCAGCATCTTCCGGTCGAGCCCTTGGAGCAGGTGGAGGTGCACGACGGCCCACATATTGAGTCACATGCGTGTCACCTGTCTCCTGAAGATGCCTTAAAAAAGGATAAAACAAAAAGTAGCTATATAAATTGAATATGAAGACACACACACACACAGAAACGGAAAACATATTCTTAAAAAATAAAGGATCATAAAGGCCTTCTGGCTACTACAAGTAGTAGTAATGTGTGGTGAAGTCCAGGATCCAAGGCTGAGCTTTAAGGTCTTCGAAACATGTTTTGCTCGTCCCGTTTCAGTCCCAGAATCTGCTCAGCTCCCGGTCCACTCTGCTGGCCTGCATCAAGCTCCGGCTTCCCACCACTGTTGCGGGGCCCCTTTTGGTGGACAAGGGTTATATAGCCAATATAGCCAACATTGAAGGCGTTGAGCAAAAGTAGGCATTTCAGCTGGCATTCCATTATCCATAAAGGGGAGGAGCATGGGAGTTTGGCCAGTGTGGACATCCCATAGAGATTGTTGCATTGGAAATAGGACATCTGACATCTGCAGTGTCAAAAATTGTGGATATCCCCCAATGTGAGCGTTCCTGTTGCCAAGGAGTGGTGAGACACATCCAAAAAAACAAGGGTAGAGACCGCGGCCAGCGCCGTGACAACTTTGCATGCACTAAGACTATGATATTATGAGGTGTGTGCTTCAGCAGCACGCAGGAACCCTCTAAATCATGTGTTTGAAAATTGCCCAGTTGGCAGATTTGCCAGAATTGCCAATCCTGATGGTAAAGAATGAATGGAGGTTAGAGATGCTTGATGAAATCACAATTTTGGACGTTGATAGAGATCTGACGATCTCTGTCTGCTAACCTTGAAGTGGGGCACACGGTCTTGAATCAGCAAATGCCGTCTTTTGCCCGCGCAGTGTGCATGAACATGTCACATCCACAGGATAAATGAGGTCGCCATGCTCAGGATGCTTGAGTCTGCTCGAGCATTCGGCCACACTGCACTCGGTCTAAAAGCCCCACGCGGAAGCCCAGGAGTCTTCCCCAGCTGTTGCGTAAGCTTCCTACCAGGTTGTCTTTGGTCCATGGAACTCACTGCTTTGGTCTAGCTTGAACTTATACGGTAACGGGTCAACATGATCGACATTTGAAAAACTCCTATCCCAAGAATGGCCTGAAACTGTCGCTGGGTCTCTGCTTGTTGAAGAAGACCTGTCAGGCGAGTAGACAAAATCTCTCGAACTTCTGGGAGTGCTGCGTCTTTGACAGCCTCTAGGATCTGGGGCACTTGCCTGTGCTGCTTTGCCTTAGCTCCATAACACAACAAACGTTAAGTTTCCCTAAAAATCTGGAACCAAATGAATAGTGCGAGCGCGTCTTCACGGAAGCTTCCCCCGCCGCCTTTAGGGCGGCGGGGGGAGCTTCCTTGAAGAAGGGTGAGCTATCCTGCGTCCAAGCTACTAGCTACTTAAGCTACTAGCTACCTCTTCTACTAGCTACCTCAAGCGGCCTACCCCTCCCTTTAATTGAAAAAGAACTTGTCCTTCGGACCCCCGCTCCCCAAGTAGAGGGAAAATGAGGAAACAAGACTTGATTGTGGCTGTGCGACCTTCAGGGCACCCTGGGCTCTTTCCAAACCACGGCTGACAGCTTTCGCACAGCGGCGCCAAGATGTAAAATCACCCGCCCGGGCATTGCAACTCACCAAGGCACTTCTGCGGCCTTGAGCTGCCAAAGTCTGAACCTCCACAAGCTCAAATCTGATGTAGCGTAGTCGAATAGCAAGGTCGAAGGCGTCAAGCAAGCTGCTGTCCCGAGCCAGGGCTGCTTCACAATCCTCAAGGATCTGCAGCTGCATCTCGCTTGAAACTTTGGTCTGAATCTGAACAAGGTCCAAAGCTGGACAAACAAAATTTAGTCGACTTCGCGCACGATCCAAGTACAACTCCCCACGGGCTGGATACAAATTGATGGCCTTGTGCAAGTGCTCTGCAACTGCAAACTTGTGAAATCCTCCTTCACATTGCTGTTTTTTTTGCATAAAGCCTCCAAGCCTCTGCTTCCAATCGATCCATCTTTGCTCTCCAAGGATGACCAGGCTTTTCTGCATCCAAACCACGGCTTCGACGTGCAAGTTGAATAGAGCTAAAGGCGTGCATTACATTCTCGAAAATCCTCGTGGCCAACAATGGGACTATGCCTGTATCTTCATCATCCTCTTGCTCGGGTGTCCAGTGAGTTCCCATCTCGATTTGATTTCTATCTTCACCATCATCCGTGTCAGTGTCAGCTGTTGCCTCATGCTCGTTGAAACTGCAGGATGGGCTGTTTGTCGCCGCTGCTGGCTTGAAAAAGTTGTTCGTGGCCCCTTCCTGCCCTTGCTGTCGGCGATTTCTTTGAAAGCCATGCCGTGATCGCGAGGCATTCGGCCCCTGGTTCATTGCATCTTCACTGAATGCCGTGGCCTGGCGCCGAGCCCATTCCCAGCTGGACGGGCCCTGAGTTTGAGGCGCGCGATTCTTGGAGTGAGATTTTGTGCTTTTTTCATGTCGTTCACACATTTCATGCATTTCATGCTCCGATTGCTCTGCTTCCGGCAGGGATTCCCACTCCTTCTGCACTAGCAAAAACAAGGGCTGCACTGCTGAGCGTCTCTGTTCCGGTTGCTTGTCAGGATGCAGCTCCAACTGCAAAGCTCGCAACCGAGGCCTCTGCAGCTCAAGGACCGAAGTCAGTCAGACTCCACAAACCTTTGAACCATGTATATAAATCATATAAATCAACACTTCGCGGCTTTAACCAAATCTCTTAGTCTAGTGACTCTGACCAGACAAGAAAACTCAAGGCCTTCGCTGGTTGGATGCCATCGCCCGGATATGTCGCAGCTCCTCTCTGAGCCCTGCAAGCCGTATCTCCGCCCATCGTTCCGCATCTAGCCGCAGTTTTTCGGCAGCCGCCCTTCGGGCAATTCGAAGCCGGTCTTGTTCCTCTGCAGCTCGCTTCTTCTCTCGTTCCTCAAGCCCGGGAGCAGAATGGCCTATTGAGCCTTTGTACTAAAATATCCAAAAATGTCTTGGAAAAAATGAAAAAATGAGTGTGTGTGTGTTTGTCCTGGAAGAACCTACCAAAGTCACAAGAATGCTGAATGATCACCCCAGGGTGCTGCTTCAATTCTCTCATTCTCTTGCAACTTCTGCAACTCTGCTAGTTCATGCTGCTTTGCAGCAACTGCAGCAGCATCTTCTCGTTCTGATCGGGAGACGCAGCTTAAACTCCGGGCCGTGTCGCACATTTCACATACCAAAAGGGCAACATCATTGTCCCAGTCACAGTCGAAGCACGTCCAGGTCCGAGCAGCCATGCAAGAGCAAGCAGTGAGCTGGGGCGCGCTGTGAGCCCAAAGTCTCTAATTATATAACCCGGAGAACATGTGGAATACACAGTTGAAAAGGACATCAACCCCTGGGCTTGCTTCCATGCCATCCTTGTGATGATCTTCTCATTACCTCTTCAACGGAAAGAAAGGTGCATGCCCCTGAGTTAGTCGTGAGATGTCGCGTGCATACATGTATACTGCATGCCTCAAACCATGCGTAATTACTATACCCTTCATCTCTTTCTCAGAACTCTTGAGTTTCTTTAACCAAATCCAATTGCAGCCAGTTCTTCCGCACTTGCCTTGAGCAGTAGTGCCTTCTGTGCGCCTATGCCGCCGGCGTTTTGCAACGGAAGCATTGGCCTGAAAAAAGTAGCAATCAAGAAGCTTCAGGCTGACATTGCTTGTCACAAGGCATTGACTGAACTGACAGAACTTGAATGCAGCATCCAATATAGAAACATCTGTAAACCCTAAAATTGCTTTGTTAGATTAATTAAACCTTGCTTGATGCACGGCACCTTGTCTCGAAGATCTTGCCTGCTGACAGGATCAACACGCACCAAAAAGCACTAGAAGAGCAAACCTTCTCTGGCTCAACTATAGAGCCCTTCAGTGCCTTGGCCACGGGTGAGCCATGAGCTCCTCTTCATCATCGCTAGAGTCCTCCTCTCGGCCAGCCATGGCTGCCTTGGCGTGTACGAGATGTGCGCTGGGTTTGCAACCTTTCACCTACAGTAAACGGGTGGGGAAGAACCAGGGACTGACCTTCTCTTGGGACATGCAAAACAGTCACAGTCAGTGGAAGCTCAAGCTCTTTGGGTGCGGGGTTGCCCTAGACGCCGACAAACTTTGCCGTGGCGTCTTGCTGTGCTGGCTGTGCTTCCTTCCCCTGGTCTCCCTTGCTTTCTTTCAGGCTCTTTCTGCGTAAGCTGTCTTGTTGCAAGCGCAGCTGAGGAATTCCAATGTTGGTGGTAACGTCAGTAATTATATATATATATTGCTATAGCTTCCAGTTGGTTCGGAATTGCATTTTTTGAAAGCAATTGGTCCTGGTGGCTGGGTCACATGTGCAAAAACGGGGGGATATACGTCACATGAGAAAAGCCAATGATGATCTCAATTTTGGAATGCTGCACCACTGTTGCATTCATAGCCACACGAAAACATACCCGGACAAAGCGGTGGAGAAAGGGAAGCCAAAAAGGGGGCAAGGCAAGGACAGAAGGCCCGACAACGCTGACAAACAGAAACAGGACAAGAAGAGGATAAAGGGATTTGCCAGGGCGGCCAGAGCCACAGGACAGCAGGACCAGAAATAGGACAACACCCGGCGCGGCCAGAGACTGTGGCCAGTGTCTTGTCTCCGACAGCAAACTGTTTGGGGACTGAACACTGAACAACAACTGAACAACAGCTGCCTGCCAGTATTTGAAGAAAAGCTCCTCTGTAAGAGACCACATCCGTCAACACCACAAATGATGCAAACAACTTTTCACACCAATGCCAATACCCATGCTGATCCTGCTATTGATTCTGACTGGGTCACAACAAACACCGAACTATCCGACTTTTGAAGATGTCGCGAAGGCACTCGCTGGTTTGGCCCTTGCTCGAGGAAGAAGTTGGCTGCCGATGGAAGTTCGCTGGGCTGCGCAGGGCTGTGAATTTTCATCCAGCCAATCAAACCAACAGCAACACGTTCAGTACATTCATACCTACTGTTCCCACTCAACCACATTGCCAGCCACAGGAATCAACATAATCAGCTTCATAAATCTCAACAGCACGCCCCTGACACAGCATTCACAAGGCCTTCACCAAGGAAACTGGCTGTGTATTTGGCTTCTTCGGTTGCAAAGCTAGCACCTGGACTCAAAATGATTCAACTCATACAGCATCACTCACACACACACACCAATGCTTTCCTCTGTTGCAGCGCGGTGAGGCGTCCCGCCTGATTGCCCACTGTGTACTTGTAGTTCCTTAGTTGCCACAAATTGCCAGGGCGAAGGTTCCAAAACCAACTCTGCCAGCCTCTAACTCTCTCTCTCCCATGGTTTCCCTTAATTATTGAAGCTAAGTGTCTTGTTCGGCGTTTTGAAGTGGCCCTTGTCCCTCGGGTCTGGCAAGAAGTCCTTCCACTGCGTCAAGGTCTTCTCGATCTTAGTTTGCCAAAGCTCTCACACAGCTGTCCCTAAATGGCGCGTGCCACTTCGTGCAATTTCACAATAACTTTGGCTTGAACAGCAAAAGGACGTCAAAGGACTTTGGCTTAGGACTTATTTATGGTGTTTAAAGTTTGCTAGTGCAGTTGTGCGACGTAGGTGAGCCAGCCGAACCTTGGAAATCTTGAAACTATCTCAACCAGGCCTGAACCTGCCTACTGGCCAGGTGATGTGGAAGCACTGGATGCAAGATGAGTCTTGAGCATCCACAATAGCATTGGATTTCAAGAAACTGACAATTGACTTGCTTGTCTGGAAAGAACCTGGTACACCACCGGCTGTTTGGAGATGTTAGCTTCTTGCTAAGGAGCAGATTCTCGCCTGTGCTGCCGAACTCAGGGGCTGGGTGCCCTCCAAATCCGCGGTTTTCTCGCTCGACTGTCTTGAGGATGTAGTGGATAACGGGCCTCAAATTCTAATCCAAGAAGTGGTACAGCAACCATCCAAGCGATTGAAGACCCCACCTGCACCTGTCAATGATCTCAGATTGTTGTGATGCCTGGCATGGCAAGGAATTCCGGGGCAAGTTGAAGCACAAATGGGGCAATCTGCATGATTCCTGCCTGTAGCTTGTTGTCTTCTGTGGCCGCAGCCGTGCTTTCAATCTGAGACTTCAAGTCTGTCAGGGCTGCGATCCTCTTCTTTTCACCTCAGAAACTTGCCAGCTGCAGGACAAGCCGGAAGACGCAGAACACCAAACAGCGACTCCTCAGGGCCCTTCGAAAAATAGAGAAGCGCCCGAGTTCCAGACTTTCAGCCTCAATATCTTGCTGGTTGGCGAGCTGTTCCTCTGCTCAGGGGGGCATTTACTCACATCTCTTGAACAAGTAACCCTGGCCCGCCCTTCCTGTTTCCTTACTTTTTCGTGATTCCGTGTCGAGGCCGTCCTTCAGCTGGCGATTCTGCTTGTCTAGGGCCTCAATCTCCCGATTCAGGGCGTTCACCTCGGGAGAATGCCAAACTGGCTAGGTAGGTGGTGAGGATCAGCAACCCAGGGTCGAGGACGTAAGTGAGCAAGCTAAAGTTGCGTTGCTCGAGAGCTACGAAAATCTTCACCTGGCCAGAAGCTTGGGTGCAAAAGAGGAAGAAAACGATGCACTCTCTGCGGAAATCAATGATTGTCCTGGCTGCCGCCCAGCTGCAATTTCCTCAATGTCCGAGATGCCGGTTGTTGATTTGATTGTTGCAAAGGCCTGAGGAGGTTGTCGAGTCAGTCAGGAAAGCATTTGGCAGCCATTCTCCGCAGCCTGCTCAAAAACTTCGATGTTCTTCTGGTGTTGCCGAATATGCCTGCACACTGGAAGCATAGGACTGGGGAGCTATGACTAGGAGGGACTTGTCTTTGTTCAGTAGTGCACCGAAGCATCACCGAGGACCTTCGCTGAATTGCGTTCAAGAAGGCCAGCTTCAAAATTCGCCGCATGACAAGCGTTGAATTGAAGTGCTCCTCCTCATCGGCCTTCACAGGTCTAACCAAACACTAGAATCCTGAAAAGCATACCTTTACCTGACAAGCCTGTTTTAGCCAAATAAAACTTAATTAAGTAAGGTTACTAGCTACTTCAGCCTTAAGCTACTATATATGGACGCAGGATAGCTCACTTGAAGAAAGCCCCGTCTGAGGGCGGGGGGAGCTTCCTTGAAGAAGCGCTCGCACTAATGATTTGGCTCCTATATTTTTTTGGAAAACTAAACATATCTGTGGAAAAGCATGCCCTGGAGCATGACAGTGCTCTCCAGCTCCTACGTTATGTCAACAGCCTTGAGGCTTCGGGTCTTGCTGCCCTTCCCATCCAACTCCTCCTTCTTGTCAGACTCCTGGGTGCAAATCAGGCTGCGTTGTCAAGTTGTCAAGGAGGTTAGCAGGGCAAAACCTGATAAGACTTCTTCAAAAGGACCTTCCGTCCAATGGCCAAAAATGGCCAATGGCTTTCTATTATGTCTCGACTTGTGCGGCAAGTGGCATAGTAAGAGTCTAGGTCTAGATAAAGCCCTCTACGAATTGACCTGACCCTATTGCAAGGGCAGCATGAAAAGTAGGTGTGCACCTTGAGAACACCCTTTCAACTTTCAACCCCCTTCCCCCAGTGGTCGATGCTTGTTTCTGCAGGCAATGCCCAGCACGACAACACAATGAGCTGTCTCTGAGTCAAGCGGGCAAGATGGGAATCTGTTGTGCATGCTGTAGCGCTTTAGGTCCTGCTGTGTCAAAAAGTGACAGGTGTTTGGGCCAGGTGTTGATGTGCAAGAGCTATCAATGTGTGCTTGACGCCGTCCTTTCGGTGGACCCATGTCAAGATATCACATCTTGTACAAAATGTCACGGACACAACATCTTAAGAAGCTGTGTATATACAAACATGTCCAAAGACTGCCAAAGACTGAGCCTTGTTTTCTCGATATTACGTGTTTCCACTACAAATCATTCATTTGATAGCCTTTGATGCCACACATTTGCCATGGACAGCTCCATTTCAGATATTGGATCATATGCATCAGCCGTTGCATCATGACATGAGACAGAAACAGTTTCAAAAAAAAACAGAGAGGAGTGAGGAGAGCATTCCGCAGCCCAGGTCGCACCAGGCCTTATCTGCGCCTGGCTTCTGAAATGGTGTATATATCCTTACTCTTTATGGATGCCCGGAGAATCTCAGGATCAAAGTGAGTGGCCTATGGTTGGAGTACTGCTAGCTGCTAGCCGCTAGCCGGACGATATTCAAACCTGTCATGACCTGTAATAACTGGTCACCAAATGGCTGTGACAGCAACACAACATTAAATAACAATGCTCACAAAAGGCCAACTGCCACTTGAAAGAGACGGGCAACATGACACGGCTCAGAAACAGGTGCCCCAAGCAGGTCTCCCAACATCCATTACATTGCTTCACCCAATGATATGAGTCATATGAGGATAAGGTTGGTTCAATGAGGTCGAGCAAGCTGCTGCTTCATCACTTGAAAACTAGTTGAAGCCGCGTCTTCACTCCTTGACCATCTTTACTCTTTCTTTCAGCTCATACTGCTCACGCTCTTTGTATTGCACTTTCAGCCTCATACGATTGGATGACGGATGACTTTGACAACATCAGTGGGCTGGCACAACCTAGGGAGTCCGCTCTTGCACTCTCCGCTTAAAAGCTTTCCGTTCTTCCTCCACCTGCCCGCTGCTCGCAAAGTGGCAATGGCATTGTCAACATTTAGCATTCACAAAGCCACCATCCATCAGGCCGATCCCTATGCACCTGCTTCTTTAGAGCAGCCATTTTGTGCATGCGCTCCTCTTGTTCTCTGCGCCTTGGGTGGCCCATGGTGACCCAGTACACCCACACGGCCCTGCTACTTCATCAAAGGACGCAATACTTTTGCCATAGTATTTATATAGCAAGGAATGACTCAGGCACGTGTCTATCCTTAGCATTTCTGTTGAATAATTTGGTTGTCGCGTCAGAGCCATGCCCAGCCATGACTCAAAACTTTGTCAAGCTTCGCTGCGTCGCTTTCACGATGGATTTGCGACACCGTACCTTGCAGATTCGCCCAACCATGTTCACTCACACCAAAACTACTAGCAGCACAGAACGAACACGGCAATCAACAAAAGCACTCCCATTCAAATGCTGCGGTCAACGACTGTCTTCCATGAGCTTTGTCCGCCCTTTTCAGGCAATTCAAGCCGGGCCACTCATGTTGTCTTTAATGTCCTGAGAGTGGACTGAGGATGTGTTCGATTGTGTAGGTTCACTGCCACGACTAAGGCTGGTGCTTGTTGAAGCTTCTTGAAGACCTGGCACGCACGCCCCAAGCAAGGAGAATGACAATGTTGCAAGCCATCCAAGTCTTTTTGTGTAGAGATGTATATATATATATATATTTATAGATATAGAGGGAGAGAGAGAAAGAATTATATAGATCCATGAAGGAAGCAGTCAGTTGTGAGGCCTGAATCAGCTGCAACCTTTCTCGACGCACTACATCTATTCGATTGCGACACTCGGCATTCTCCTTGGCTTCCCAGGTTGCAATACAGTGCCGTCAGGTCTTACGTATGTGTTTGCTCTCAAGACTTGGGAGCTTAAGTTTAAGCGAGCATCGTGGCCCAGCAAATTGAGCTGCGCAATGGCTTTGGCCAAGCGATTTTCGAGCTTCTTCAATGGGACCCCCTGAAGAAGGCTGCAACTGGACACACTGTTTCAAATGCCTACTACAGCCTGACACAAGTCAGGGTCAAGCAAGGCCTGCCCATCCTTTTGTACCTTGAGAGTCTTCTCAGTGCACTCTGATCTCATTCTTGCAGCATCCTGGCAAAGCCATTGTGCTATCATCATCTATCATCCAAACATTTCACTGTTCAACATCATGAACCCTCCTCATCCAGCTTGTTGAGACGTCTCTTTTCCAGCTCAAGCCTCCAGGTGGCTCTGAATCACCACAGCATTGGGCACACCAGCAAACATCTGAGAACCCTGCTTTCTGGTTGTCGACTCAATCTCATTATGCATTCCTGTTCGAGCATTGTGGTGCAAACAGTAACACCGCAAAGCTGAATCATGTGCGGGTCTCAGGCTGCAGCTCTGCAAATGATCCTGCAAATACCTTTGAGTGTGGGCTGCTGGCATGAGAAGCAAATGACTTGGTGTTTGTGATCAATTTGAACGTGCCATGTTTGCTTAACTTAACCACACTCGGCTCAGGGACGCTTGATGTGCAGGTAGAGCCCTCTGGGTGGCGATGCGGACTGTCGCCTCGCCATCTGTGCTTTCTTGCCGCTGCATTATGACCTTGGATAAAAGCATGCCGCGCTACCTGGAAGCAACAGCATGTGCAGCATTTGTGCATGAGAAACACTCGCCTCCCCACCAAACCGCACTTCGGAATTTCATACAATGCAAGCGTGCAGCAGTGGCTTCCAGTACAGGACAATGTTCGTGAACGTGCTCAGATAGACAGGGAAGTGTCTACTGTCTACTGTATGTGCTTGTGGGTCGGGTTAGTGACCTGTCGTGATGATGGGACATAGGTGCACCCCATTGAGCCGACCGTGCTGCGCTGTCAGAATGAGGCAGGTTGGCCCACAAACAGCCTCAAAGATCCTGAAAGCATGTGTTTCAGGTCTCAAAAACGTCCACAACTGCGAAAGATTGTGCAAACTGGCCTAGCTTCAAGTCACTCAGCCGGCGGACACTGAAGCCAAAGTTCTTTAGCAAGCGCTCCTTTGCAACTCCAGTGCCGTGGGGTTCCCAGCACCAAAGGTGTGCTTAGAGTCCAACGTAGAAGAGGGCATCATTCTCTGGCGCTTCCAATTCATGGTCTGACCTGCAGTGAACTCTGCTCTAGCAAAGCGGTCTGTCCACTTGAGAAGCGGGAACGAAAGCGAGAGAATCCTTTGATCATTCCAAACCATCCGCAAAAGAATTACTATCAATGGAGGGGATGGTTTGCTCCTCTTCAGCGCTAGTGTCACCAATAAGTCTTGTGTGGAAATGCCCGAACCTAATCTGGAACAACCTTTGTGTCGCCAAGCTAATTTCAACCATTCAAGTGATGCTTGCGATGCATGTGTCCTAGGGTGGGGGAGGGAGGGAGGGAGGGAGGGCCTCAATCAATACGCTATCAATTCGTTGAGGACATTGGTGCTGGCAAGTGGCCGTGGGTAGCTGCAGCTCCTTAAAAAAAATAAAAGAGAGAAAAGCAAGTCGTGGTGAGCTGGGAACATCGGGAAAAATGGAATCACATTCTGGAACGCATTGGCAAGTGGGTGACGAAATGAGATGCAGATTTCAGGTTCACATCTGTAGCCACTTGTGAAACACGGTTCTTTCGACAGTTGGCAGAACATGTCCCTGAGCAATTGACTTCAAGATCTTATATGTCTAGTGATTAAGTGCATCTGAGGAGCACAACCAAACCCTTGCGGGTGTTGGCCATGCTCGATCAGCCTGCAGCAGCTGTGTTTGAATGGTTTTTTCATCAAGTGTGTCGTCTGCCACCGGCAAGCTTGTGAAGGTTTGAGACTGGTTTTGGTGTGCTAGTTCACGCACTATTCTGCCACTCCATTCCGATACCAGTATTCTGATACGCTTAAATTTCAACTAAGGAGCATCGGAAGCATAGGATCATGGTAAAGAAAGGCGCTTGGTATGTCCCTGCGACTTCCTCTCCAGTCACACTCCCCAAAGCTGTGAAACTGACGCGAGCGAAGAAATCAAAAGGCTTGGGAAGACCATGAATTCCCTGTCTGTATGCCCCCAAATGGGCAACAAGGGGAATGATTGGCTTTACAGGTGCAAGGAAAGACGGAAAAACTTGGTAAACGCTCTGCTTTTTGTGGCGCGAAAATACCGCACTCTTGATCAAAGCTCAGCCCCATGTTGGGGCCATAGATGCGTTATTCGGAACACAAAAGCTTGTGTTGCTAGCTCTGCCAAAATCAGTGAGGTAGCTCTTCTGCCTGCTCTGTTGGCTGATAGCTTGGGTTTTGCTGCCATGGTGGTGCCAGGAACTCCTCGGCACCAGCCTCCCTCATCAAATGAATTAGCCAACTGTTTGTTCCACGCAGTCGCTTGAGCTCACTTTCATGCGCAACCGCAATGTTCAACTTTGCTTTTAGATCTTTGACATCGGTGAACTTCGGTTGGGCATCCTGAAGCCATTTTGACTGCATGTTCGCAAGTCGAAGTCTCAAAGGAGACTTTGGTTCAGGATCTTGGTAGCTTGACCGGCTTGACCCACTTGGCCTTGCGCCCATGCTACCAGACTCCAATCGTTGGAGGCCGAAGCCAACATCTAGCTCAGCTAGCTCTGTTTCAAAGCCACTTGGGAGTTCTAGCTTCCGACGCCTACGCTCTGGGCTTGAGGTTTGGGTGGCAGCGTCACTTCCTGCAGAAAACATGAAGTCCATGTTGGCCTTGCCCACCACGTCATTCCTCGAGTTCCGAGCGTCTTCGGCCTCTCTGGCTAGAGCAACTCCAGTCTCTTCACTTGCTAAAACTCTCTGCTGTACCAAACCTTGCTTCTGCTGAACAGGCTCATCAGGTTTGTTTGCACCATCCCCTTCAGCTTGCATATCTTGCACGTCCGTCCGCCCTTGTGCCTCCCGTGCCGGCCGCACAGTCTCCAAAGAGGCTGCAGTTGAAGCATGTTTAGAGGCGGCTGCATGGCCTGTATGCAATGTTTCTGGCATCTCCAGGAGAAAGGCATCATCTTTTGAATCCTTTTTGACATTTGTCGTCTCAGGCACTTCTTGATCTGGCTGTTGGGCCAACTGCAAGCCTTGCATGCTTGCTGCACCCACAAAAAGCTAAAAAGGATCTCAGATTGAATCCAGCATAGCAGCCGTTAACAGCCTACAGCAAAGACTCCACAAACGAACTTATCGAGCCTCTGCAGCCCTTTTCCTGCAGCAACTTTCGGTGCTGAGCATCAGCATTGATCTGGCCAATCCTAAGTAGAATCATTCTCGAACATGCACGCAGAACCTGGCCCGTTCCTCCTCTCGGCCGGCTAGGTTCAAGGGCAGCTAGCTATGCAGGTAGTGACTGTCTTGCTCAAGTCTAGCCATTCAAAGAAGCGAAAGAAGGCAAGGCACGTCTCCAAAAGACGCTGCGATTGTGAAGAGAGGACTGTACGGATGACGGAAGGTAGAAAGTACCTACAAGCTGGTTGCCCAATGAATCAACTGCCCTCTGGGATTTCCCGATTTCATTTCGTGGCTTCTTCTTACACAGTGTCTCTCTCTCTCTCTCTCTCGGCTTAGCGTTTTCTGTGCCAAACTCACACCACAAACATCCACCCAAGAGCTCATCATGTCTACCCCTGCCCCAATCATATGTGCAGCCCTATTGCTGAACCATGCCACTTGAAACTTCCACGCGAGCCATACCCACGACCTTTGTCTTCGTTTCGGGCTCCGCACCATCGCGGACCTTGGTCTCGGCCAAAGCGGCCCAGGCAGAGACGGTGAAGGTGCAGTCTCACAGTCTCACTCCAAACAATTATATACAAACAGAAAGTCCAAAGAAAAGAGTTGAACAGGAAGCCAACCAAAACAAAACAAAGAAAACAGTCTCCAAAGAGGCCAGGCTATTAACACTCAGCTGAGGCAAGAGGCCAATCCTATTGCAAAGGCTGCTGATTGATGACAGCCTGCTGTCAGAGCTAGGGCTAGGCTCAAACAAGAGAGATACCTGTAGCGGTTCCACACCTACCATGGCATGCACCAAGCTTTAGACTTTAGACCTTCGTCTTTCATGTTTGTTCTTTTGCATGTCGCATGTGTACGCGTGGCATTTTCATAACACACCTTTTCCCTCAAGCTTGACGTACTGGTGCACCTGCATAGGACGGCAAGCCCTCCCAGGACACTGCAGCTGGCTGCCACAAGAGAACGTAACTCCAGAATGGGCGGCCAGGACCCTTTCCAGAGATGAGCTGGTCACGTGGCAAACCATCAAACACAAGTGAACTGAATAAATACAGTGTTCTCACTGTATCAAACATTAGCATTCATCGGTGCACCACAAATCATGCGGCCAGGTTTCACACTCCAAGCAATTCCTGTCATAGGCTTGCTGGGCGTCCCAGAAAAAGAACTGCTCGGCAGCCAGCCCCATTAGTCCGTCAAACTTGAAGGATACGAATCTGCAACCGCTCGCTTTGTATTTCATCATGCTTGGACCGACAAGATCATCCCACTTGGCACGCTCTTCTGGATCATCAACCAACGCGAAAACTGTTTCAATCGGCGCATCCAAAACAACCTCACACCGTCCACGTTCTACATAGCAATCTCGACTGTCGTCCCTTGCAGAGAGCCGTTGCACTGTGAGACCCGAAACTAACTCTGTCTCCCACGTAGGCTCATTGAGGGTCCAGCTCAATATCTCACGTAACTCAGATGCTTCAATTGGTCGATCATTCTGCCTGGATGGCAAAAGAAGCATTCCTGGACTCTTTTTGCTTTGTAAGTGTCCATCCTTCTCAGGCATTCCATTGCTCAGAGTCCTGGTTTCGCTGTGCCGCACTTCATGCCTTCCAAAGTCTTGAGCCGCATGGCTGCAAGCCGCACAAAAATAAAACATAATAAAACAGCTCACGCATGCTCTCACCCCTTTGGCATTGGCTTGCATGTGCAAGCTGTGCAAGCAACATGCTGACAAGCATTCAGCGCTCCAATTTAACGAATTCCATCAGCTCTGCTGTATCAATGGGACTGCTCGAGCCCCAAAGTTGACTCTACAAATTCTGTAGTCCAAACTGCTCCTCGAATCAGGTCCACAAGATCATCGAGGATGAGCAGTATTTGCGCTCTGTGTCTGCAACTCCTCCCTGAGCCTTTCAGCCAAGCTGGACCTGAGAATTTGATGCCAGAATCACAAAATGGTGAAGTTGGACCTGAGAGCACCTGAGATCTGCTAAGGACTGCCCAACAGCAAATGCGAGCACTGCGAGCACCAGCAACGACACTGTCAGGATCTTCTTGGCCGATTCCTTCTACGCTGCCATCATGCCACTTCCCTGCAAATGCTCTGCAGGATGGAAGGCCAATTGGCACTGGGAACTTTATCGCAAACATTCGCTTCTTGTCCGCAATAAGGAAACTTGGCTGCCACTTTTGGAGAAGGATCAGAGCCTCAAAGGCGGATTGGTCACTGAACAAAGCCCGATGGGCGACCGTGGCCTATGTGTCTCGAAAGGAACCGCCCTTGTGCAGATTGGCCTGGCCGTGTACTATATACAACACTGCTGGCAGCTGCCAACCTTCAAACTTCACGCA